GCTATTAAATTCTAACACATATCTACCTACTGACTACTAGTACACCATCAAACTCAGCCCTCCCTTACAATTCCAACACTGCATTTTCTACCGACCGAATTCCTCTGTCCGAGGACGCTCTTCATTCTTCGAAGCCCCGACGTACAAGAGCGCACACAAAATCTCACGCTCACAGCCCGCCCAAGAACCGCGGCAGCTCATCCTGCGCCAGCCCCAGCGCCCCAAACGGATCAGACGCCCGCGACGGGCGTTGCGGCAGCGATCGTCGGGCGCGGAACGTTCCACTCAGATACGTTGCGCTGTTGTTCTTCTGCGGGGACGGCGTATTCGGGGGCCCGACTACGAACTGCGGCGTCGGATAGCCGTGCGTCGGTGTTGCCGGGAAACGCATCCCTGGTGACGGAGTGGGGATGATTGGTGCGTTGGGTCCGTTCGGGGTGCTTGAAATGGACGCGGGGCTGCTCTGCCCATGCAGATGCACGCGCGGCGAACCGTAATCTGAACCGTCCCAGTCCTCCACCCGTGCGCGTTTGTGCCCGCGTGGATTGTCGTTATATTGCGAGTGGCCTGGCTTGGGCGAGTAGAACTCGGGAGGGAGTCTTACTAACTGCCCAAATCCTGCGGGAGGCGTGGCGGGCGTGACCGGGGAGGAACACGGGAATGCGTATTGAGCCACGGCACCGGCGTAGGGGTGGATCGGGGATACGGGCAGTGGGGAGGGCATCTGAAACGGACTGTATGTGTAAGGCGAAGACGCGGCGGGGTACCACCCGAGGCTCCCAGGAGAGAATTGTGCGGGTGAGGGCGAGGTGGGAGGCCGAAGGAATTGGTACTGAGTGGGAAAGAAAGCGGGTGGCTGCGGTGCGGGGAGGGATGCGACGCCGTGCGCGCCAGGGATCTGGTTTGCGTGCGGTACACGCGCGGGCGTGAGTGGCATCCGAACGGGAATATTGCCCGGCGCGCGCGCTGTGAGATTCGTCAGAATCCGAGCTCTACAAAACACGTTAGAACTCATTCGGATTGCACCGAATAGACTGAGACGTACCTGGCGCCAGGAACCTGCATAGGGTTTTCTGGTAGGTGCTGCACGATGTCGCGCAGAAACGTGGTCGTCTGCGTCTTGAACTTTTTCCGCTCAGCAGCCGCGCAGTGGGTGGCAACGCGAGCCTTGAGGACTTTCATCTGGGCCAGAAGTGCGGCCTCCTCCGCGTATCCAACATCGACGTCCAGCAGATGGTTTGCGAATCCGGGACCATCGTGAAAAGCGGGGAGGGGGGAATGGGTGGCCATGGTGGCAGGGAGAAGGGGGAAGACAAAGAACGGAGGCGCCATGTGAGCTAATTGTTCAAATACTCAAAGACGCGCTTGCGCTGCATTGTTCTCTGCCGTCAGTCTCCTTTGGGCAATACATACCTTTATGATGCAGTGGCGGTGCAGGTTCTTGCACGGTTGAAGCTGCTTGGGCGACGAGCTGTTGGTAAGTTTTGGGCTCAAAGATCAGTAGCACCAGGTTAATTCGGCACCGTGCCTCTCTCTCTCTCCGTACCTGCATTGATTTTCAGCTTGCATTCCGGAGGGAGCCATCCCATTCAAGGGGCCGGAGGTCCATCCACAGTTTCTGTCCACATTTAGTCTCTGGTACGACTTGTGGTAAGAGCAATACAGAGGACGTCCCTTGACGAATCGACGATTTCCAAATTCCCTAGCACCCTGGACGATGCAGTTATCGAGAGCACATGTAGCGCAAGCGATGTTTGAGTAAGATCGGTTTGGAGCATGAAGGTTATCCCAGACCGAAGCATTGGTCCAAGCGTTGGTTGTGGTACGAGGGAAAATGCATTTGCTTATTTGGCCGTGTTGTTGTCATTGGTTGATGATGGACGCGTGACCTGGTGGCTGTGCTGTTGCTGCTCTTCCCGAACCTTGCCAATGCCATGCCTCGCGCCTTCCCTGGACCGCTGTTTTCCTGGATTCCCGGCTGAGAGTTAGGGTTTCAGATCGGTTTAAGTCTTTTCTGTGAGTCAATATCGACCAATATATCGACCCCGGTACCGATCAAGTACCGATGACTCAATTTCTTCCACAGGTCTTCGCCGTGGCGGACGAGGGCGGACAAAGGGCGGATGCGTGAGATGCCAGGATCGGCAAGGCCGCGTCACTGATCGGCAAATTATCTGAATCGCACCCGCAATAAATCGGGCTCAGTGGTATATAAGTAAGAAGCTCTGATTCTTAACGGTGTTCATCCCTCCTTCCCTCGATTTCATGACTTCCACTCGAAAAATAGGAAACTCGACCTTCTCTGGCATCGGCTTCGGCGCGATGGGGATCTCCTCATTTTACGGCGCAGTCGAGTCGGACGAGGAACGATTCAAGGTCTCTCCCCTTCCCCTTTCCACGGGCCGATGCTGAGTTTCTGATTCTCCAGGTCTTAGACGCCGCACACGCTGCTGGTTGTACCTTCTGGGACACATCCGATCTGTATGGCGATTCTGAGGAACTCATCGGCAAATGGCATGTTTTTCCGCTGCGGTGATGTTATTGCCGCTCATGATCTCCAGGCTCAAGCGCACAGGCAAGCGTGACGATATATTTCTTTGCTCCAAGTTTGGGGTTAGGCTGCCTTCTTTTACCTTGGACGGCAGTCCAGAATATGTGAAGATCGCTGTTGAAGCGGCTCTGAAGAAATTCGGTGTCGATCATATAGACCTCTACTATCTACACGTAGGTCCACTCCCAGGCTGTACTCCAAGACTCTGGCATTTCTGAATGACTCCCACAGGGCGTTGACACGAAAACTCCGATTGAAGTGCTCGATATATGTTATCTTGACGATCACTTTACTGATTGTATCTTTTAACAGCACACTGTCCGCGCCATGGCTGAGCTTGTCAAGTCAGTATCGCGTGTTCCATTATTTCGCCCAGTACGCTGATATAAACCTCCCGCTAGGCAAGGCAAAATCAAGCACATCGGTCTCGACGAATGCTCCGCCAGGACCCTGCGACGCGCGTGTGCCTTGCATCCAATAGCGGCCGTGGAAGTCGAGTACTCGCCCTTTACGCTCGACATTGAGGACCCCAAGATCGGGCTGCTTGCCGCCGCACGCGAGCTTGGTGTCAAGATCGTCGCGTACTCGCCTCTGGGACGTGGGCTCCTTACAGGGCAATATGTTCATTCTCCTCTTGTCCTCCATTGATGCTTAGGAATTAACCCGTTGCTGGGCAGAAATCCCCAGACGACTTTGAGGAGGGGGATTTCCGGAAGAGCATTCCCCGGTGCGTTCATGTGCTTTGTTTTTTCCCCAGCAGACACTCATTGATGATCAAACAGCTACAGCGCCGAGAACTTCCCCAACCTTCTCAAGATTGCAGACGGTCTCAAGTCCATCGGCGTGAAATACAATAACGCAACCGGGGGCCAGGTCGCGCTCGCGTGGCTCCTTGCGCAGGGCGACGACGTCATTCCCATCCCCGGGACGAAAAAGATCAAGGTGTGTTCCTTAGCGATTAGGTTTTTCCACGGCGAGGTGATCAATACCAATTCGACGCAGTATTTGGAGGAGAACATCGCGGCTGGCAAGCTGAAACTATCTGCTGAGGACATGCAGGCCGTGCGCGACGTCGCAGCTGCAGCGGACATCTCGCAAGGGCGTTATCCTGAGGCGATGATGAGCATGTTGTTTGCCCATACGCCTGAGTTGCCATAAACACTGCTCGATCGGCATACATTGACGTTACGAGCTTCCCCCATGCATCAACGAATTTTTGTACATTTACGAACACGTTTAACAGACCTGGGAACATTTTTCCACAGAGACGTATACCGCCACTCCACCACGCCTTTCGATCTCAAAATCTTCAACATATAAACCTCCTGCAAACCCCGTCTTTCCATCTGTGTGTTTTCTGCTCACGAGCTGGACGACAGCCGCGCAAACGCGGGTCAAGTTCGAACGTCTGGCTTTGTGCCATTCAACGAGTGGGGCCGGGGCTGGGATGCGAGACGAGGCAGAGGGTATGCGCATGACATTTAAGAACGCCCGAGGGGACGAGACGATTCTGAGCAGCTGCGAGATGGAGGCGACACTGGGTGACCGAGACGATTCGCGTAATCGCACTGCTGGCGGCGGGGCGGCGATATCCGCGGTTAGCGTGCAGGTGCTTTGGGAAGCCGTATCCGAGACCGGCGTATTTCGACCGTGGGGGCACAATGGAGGCCGGACGCGGTGCGGGATGGTGCGGGGCTGGTGCGGCATGACTACGAGCCATAAGCGGGCCAGCACCCTGTTGCACGCGGCGGCATAATAGGGCCTGTGTGCGGGGAACGCCCAGAGTGGGTGAGGCGCGGCGCATGCCGAGTGGGGAGAGGATGCTGAGCGAGTTCGTATCGGGGCAACGCACTAGGATCCCCAAGCCGATGCAGGGTTGGAGGCGGTCTAACGGGCAGACAGATGAGACGGGGCCAAGGCATAGTTGAATGGAACGCACCTGAGCATGAGGTGACAGCATATGCAGCCCGTTCGAGGGACAGGAAGCATGGATGGTTGCACAATAATCCGACAGAATAACAGGAGTTGACGGGCCAGCCGTGCTCGAGAGTGAGAAGGAAGTCATTGGTAATTTTGGGTGGATAGTGGTGTGGCGGAAGAGAGGGGAAAATAGGAGGTATGCAAGCGGCCAACGCTGACCCCTTTTTTTTCATCCGCGGAGGTAAATTTGTCTTAGACAAAGCTGTCACGTTGGTCGATTTTGTCAGTGTACATCGTCCTTCATGTTGACGAACCCAATCGTTCATGGTGTGACTATTTGCGTTGTACACTGCAAGAAGGACAGAAAACTCTCTGACTAGGGGAAAGTATCCCAAAGAGGGCGCCGAGAGGCTTTAGCGTGGAAAACAGAGAGAGAGGCGCCTGTGCATTCGGTTGACAGACAAGATATCAAGGTTGGGATAGGGTGACAAGTGCTCGTCGTTGGCGGGCTGAAAAAACAGCAAAAGGATGGCATCACCGTGGCTTGAACACGGGACCTTCAGATTAAAATCAGACAAACAACAACACTTCAGTCTGCTGCTCTCCCAACTGAGCTATGACGCCGATGCAGACACCGCTGGACACACAGTGGCCTAGTAGGAACCATTACACGGCCATAGGAAGTTGAGAAAAAGACCCGAGTTCACCACCGAGAAAAATCGAACCTCCATCAACATCCCACCTCCCACACATGGGCAAATCGTCAACGAAACGACCTACATCTGCGGCGGCGTTTCGTCAGTATATAGCCGTGACCCACACCGTGCTAACACCACAGATGGATGAGTTCGTCAATAACGCCGTTGGCAGATGGTTTTTGGCAGTATAATTTTAAATAAAGCTACCGGTATGCGGAATGGATGATCAACAGTGCCAGCCTAAACACCTACTGTTTCCTTCTCTGTTTGAAGGAGAAAACAAGTGACAGCAGAGCGCGATCCATCACAAGTGCGGAGCCAAGGAATTGCGCTGAACGTTATGAATTTTTAATCTCGCAAACTTGATATTGTTCTTTCGAACCCGCGTCTTCATGCTCGATCAAAAGAGTCCCCGATTTTTTTTTTTCGCACTGCTTTTGCTCACGAGGCCAACCAAGCTGTCGAATAAAAGTTTCAAGAACTGGCTGCGCAGCGATGGACGTGCCTCTTCACCCACACAACGATGCCTTTCCGCCCACTGTATCGCATCATAGCCGGCATTACAATCTCGTTCGGTGTCATTCTTAGCGCTATCGCGAGCTACTTTGCTGCTGACACAAAGCTTGCCGCGCTGCTCGTCGTAGGCGTGCCGCCACAGCAGGAAAGACGCGGCCCCTTCATCAAGATGCAGAGAATGGAGATGGAGTGTCGCGGGAGCATTGGCGTGATGCAAGTGTGCCTTCGCATGTACAGCGGGCGTCCATCAACAAAGGCAGTGTGGCCAGCGACGTATGTTCGACCACGACCGATGCGCCGCCGAGTTACAAGGAATTGTGAGTTGGATTCTGTGGTTTTCAGATTGGGCTCTAGCTTTCAGCGGATGATCTGTATAGTGATTTATGCCGGCCAGCGCTCAAAATGGGAGCTCTGTCTGTGCCCGGGAAATTAGGAGGAAATGTGAACGTGCTCACTTCCCGCTCGCAGATTAGTGCAAAGTGTGAATAGCGTCGAAGGCGGGCATATATACCAAGAAGAGCGTGGGTCGTGCGCTTCTTTTGCTCTAATCAGGCGGAGGCGAACGGGAAACAGAGCTCAAAATTGGACAAGGAGGTTGTTTGATCTGTTACTGACGCGTACGCAACTTATCGTGCAGAATTTTGGCAAAATTGAAGTCAAGCCACGGCCAACAACATTAATTTACGCGGTACAAGCGAGGGTGTGGACCCCGATCCTTATTGTGAGTTTTCTTTGGCGGGTGGAAGGACAGAGATCCCTGGAGAATAACCGCGGAATACCCTTCGGGATGTTGCTGGGTGTTATCAAGCTGTTATCATTGTCCCCCATTGTCAAGAAACCGCATTGGGATCGATTTGCTCCCGGTCACTGTTTATTTGTTCTCGCTCACGGTGGCATTCGCGTCTCTCTGTTCCTCACCTCTTGCACACCTCCCATGGCGTCCAACCTCCCTGACCTATCGCACCACCTCGTCGACGAGGGTCGGATCCAACTCCTGGAAATACTCGGGGCGGGGTCCTTCGGAATCGTTTACCGCGCCCGCGACACCACAGCGCCTGAAGACAAGCCAGCGTACTTCGCAGTGAAGTGCCATGGTCTCCTCACTGCGAGAGGCGCCGAGAAGCCCCGCGACACACTCGAGATCGCGCTGCACAAGGTGTGTAGCCACCACCACAGCATCATTACCCTCCACCGGAGCTTCCACGACCACGGCTGCGTCTTCCTCGTCCTCGAGCTCGCCCCGGGAGGAAACCTCCTCCAGGCCATTGCACGGGGTGCGTTCCACAACGACAACGCCCGTGTGAAGGCGACGTTCATCCAAATCTTGGACGCGATCGCGACGTGCCACCACCACAATGTTTGCCACCGCGATCTCAAGCCCGAGAATATCCTGTGCAATACAAACGGCACGCGCATCCGCATCGCGGACTTCGGGCTGGCTGTGCGCGATGTGTACCCGCGCCCCACCAGCGTTGGAAGCCTACCATACATGACCCCCGGTACGCCGTGCCACCAACGTTTCGGCTCTGCGCTAACGCGCTCTTGGGCTTGACAGAGACCGTCCCGCGCGACGGAGTGGGGCGTACCGAGTACGAGCCACGCCAAAGCGATATCTGGGCGGCGTGCATCGTCCTCTTGAACATGATGACACCGGGCGTACTCTGTCCCTGGGCGGTGGCGCACAAAAGCGACCGCGGGTGGTGCGCCTTCATCGAGGACCCGACGTACCTGCGCCGCCGGTTCCCCATCTCCCAGGCGCTCGACGAGCTCTTGTCCCGGTGCTTCAATCCCAGCCGCACCGGACGCCCAGATCTGGCAAAGATCCGGCAGGAGATCCAGCGGATGCCGGAACTCTTCACAAGCGCCTGGGACGAACCGCTCCCGCCTGCGCCGGTGCTGGAGGGAACCGCGGAGGCGTTGCGGAATTCGGGGCTTTCGTTCAGCTTCCGCGAGTCGGCGTATTCGACGCCGGCTACGTCGTACGGGGTGGAGTTACCTGAAGGTTATGCCCCGGCCGCAGCGCTGGCAGTGGTTCCCGCGCGCAAGCCCGCGCCGCGCAGTCCGTTAAAACAGCTGAAACAATGGATGAAACAGGCGCGACGAGCCCAGCGCTGAAATCGCACCGAAAGACGGATGCCTGCGGATACGCATGCTGGAGGGTATCAATTGGAAAAGACACATGGAAAAGACACATGCACTTTAGTCGCCCTGTATATGTACACACCTTACGACATTTTATGGAAATCACATAAGTATGTTGACCTTGGCCTGTGTTTCGCAAACGACATAAGATTCGAAGTCGAAAGAGACTCGCACCAGCTTTAACATGAAACAGAAAACATTACTGGGCGCCCCCGGGACCAAAAGGAAGAGGTAGAGGTAGGACAATCGGGCGGCCGTTCAGTCAGATAGAAGCCACTGCAGACCGCGTGTTTTGGACCACATATTTTTTTTCCGGATATTCCTGGTGAGCCCTTTCGATCCGCAATGTTTTTGCCAAAGTGTCGTCGCAAAGTTGGCGCAAAGAGAGACAAGAACGCAATAGAGACGAGGAGAATGATCCATCTGGTCTGAGTCGACTAGCCAAGACGGTCGGCTCGAAGCTGGTCAAGATATAGATATTGAGATCAATCTTTGAGGCCGACAGGTTGGACTTGAATACGGGCGGCAGAAAGTTATTCAAGAGAACTAGGAGCAGGATCAAACGCCGGAGAGAACTTGGAGTTGACTTGGAGTCGAATCTTGGTCGAATCAGTCGATCCAGGGATTCACTCTCGAAACCTCATAGCCAGTTCCGTGCAAAAGGCAGGTATACCTTCCAAGCGATTGGGAGATCACAGAAACCTGGTAGTGTCGGGAGAAAACGCTCTTGATGGTGTGAGGAGGAGACGAAGTTGCCGTTGTTTGGCTACGGCTTCGCTGCGCATTGCCACGTAGCTGTCACCGAGTGTCACCTTCGCTCTCACCCCAACCCTGGCGTGCAGGCTCAACCTCGCCACAACCTCGCCACTGCCAAATTGCGTACATTGGTCACTTGCTGAATCAGTATCGCTCTCTTCAAGCCCTGTCTCGCCCAAGTCTCGCCTGCTTTCATCTTGCTGCAGCGGAGCGCCTGGCAGCCTGGGGCAAGCCTGGAGGCTCGGCTCTTTTCGGGCTCCGGTTGTTGTCTGTCTTCCTGAATACCAGCGACAGGTCCATGTGGAACCAACTCCCCTCGAAACTCCCTAATTGAGTGCCCCCGGAGGAGCTTGCCCGTCCGGCGTCAAATCGGGTGTGTCCGATCTTATTCTGGGGTCGTGGCCTCCGTTTCTCAGTGACAGTTACCCTGGAGCCATCTGGAATAGAATGCCTCGGACTTGCCCGATAAGACGTCCCCGCAGGGCTGCCAGCCACGCTTCTTGCGCTTGAAATTATCCTGCCCACTGGGTTTGCCCCTCGGAGTTTTGAACAGGTGCTCCTCGATAATTCTCCCTGTCGCGATCTTAGTCTATGTACTTAACCTGCGGGACGCTGTGCTGAGGTCGCTCTTAACTATCGTCTCGTCTCAAGGCTATAGGGTCTTCTCCGTTGTATATCAGAATTCTCAGTGAGAACCCCGCTGCTTCCTCTCTCACGTTTCAGTTACACATATATGACCCTCACCCAACTTGACTACGTTCACCATGTCCGCGAATCTGGTATGTCCATATGATACGTCTCCATTCTACGACACACTGAAGGAGCTATTAAACTTAGGTGCTCGATGAGTTTCTCATAGCAGGTACCCTGTGTGCTTGCGCAACTCTTCTGGTGTGTACACACCTCCAGTCATGCCTTGATTTTTCTGACGAATAACAGACGTATGACTGGATATGCACGCTCGATCAAGAGGCGTGTTCTGCCCTCATTTTCATTCAACCGGCCTGATTTCTCAAAATCATGCCTTTTAGGTAGCCCGTGTGTGGTCTCGGCCTTGGTCAACTGGCACGCTGTTTTTTGTCCTCAACCGATATCTTCCATTCGTCGATATCTCCATCTCTCTATCTGGTAAGACCACAGCTCTCACCCCCCTCATTCGGCTGACCGCCGCTGTGAAGCCAGGTTCACCCGGATATCTCCTGAGGTGCGATCGTCCAGTTGGTTCGTGGCCCGGTCGGCTCACACAGCATAGCGATGTCTCACGGAGAATAAGGCTGTCGCTTGTACGCATGGATCTCCTTCGATATAGTATACGCAGCCAGACTGATGCCAACGACTATGCAGGGTTTACCGTGCTAGGCATATTTCTATCCGAAGGTGCTCGACGCATTCTTCCCCCAGCGTCAACACTTATCTGAGTTTGTAGTGATCCTTATGTTGCGCACATTCGCCCTCTGGGACCGCAGCCGGGGTGCTCTGATCGCGTTGACCCTTCTTGCTCTCGTCAGTTGT